CACACCTCGTTGCTGAGATGTGTCTGGCTGCTGCCTTTTTTTTTTCCTTTTCTTCTCCTGTTCCCCTCCTGCTGTGTTTCGACTCATCTCTTCAGACTTCCTGGCTGTCTTTTTTTTTCTCTCTCTCTCTCTTGTTCTCCCCACCTCAGGGACATCAGCTTAAGGGGCAAAAGGGTGGTGCAGTAGAAAAAATAATGGAGATATTATTATAAGTCCATCATATTATCATGGAATTATAATGATAGTGAACTGATAATGAGAGGAGTTTGTGCCTTGAGCTTTTTTCCTGTATTTAAATGTTTTACGTGTTCAGGAGCCACGTCGATCATAAAGTCCTTTGATAAAAGTTTTCTCAAGCTCACCCCAGAACTCACTCCCTTGGCCTAGTCAAAGTCACTGACATTAAGATGCTTTGGAGTGATTTTAAAGTGGGATGAACATCCACGAAAGCCCTCAAATGTCTTGCAGCTGTAAGTGAGGGGTGGGACAAATGTTCCTCAGGACGCTGGTATCCAGCTACCAGCGTCTCATTGAAGTGATTTCACCTGAATGGGGTGAAATTCAGCTGAGTCATAACCTCTTCATCAACTAGAAAACACATTTTGCTCAAGTCTTTTGAGTAAAACCAGGTAAAATGAGTAAAACCAGATTAAATGAGTAAAACCAGGTTAAATTAGTAAAACCAGATTAAATGAGTAAAACCCAGTGTGCCGTACTTTTAACCTGGTTTTAAATGAGTAAAACCAGGTTAAATGTCGGCGTGTTTCATGTCAATAAGCTAGAGGTTTCTCTAATTCGCTCTACAACGCGTGTTCTTCTTGTGCCTGTGCAGTTTTTATGGTAGCATTTCTAATAAATCGAAAAGATCTCTAGGAACGGACCTTCATAATCCGTCCGTTCCTATTTTTTTTCTGTTTGGCTCCAGACTTTCTCCCCGTTAGGAATACAAGCTGCAAGTCATGAACTCTATTTTCTTAGACTAAGATGTTTTAGGAATGCGCTTAATCAGCTTCATATCATTATCTTTTTTTTAAATTGGTGACTGGTGTCCTAATACTTGTTATTAATATGGACGAGGTGAGCTTTAAATATTAAGCTTCATCTTTTTATAACGAGCCGGTCTCATTTGGCCCATAACAATTTTAAACGTGCAAGCGGCAAAAATATCTAATGTTTAAATTTGAAGTCTGACCTTCCTGCCCCTGTTTGAACTGCTGAGACCCTGTTAATTAAATATTCAGAGGTCTTGGTACTTTTGCTTTCATGTTTGAAAGTATGTTTAATAGATTCTTTAATTTGTCAAAAAAAAAAAAAAAAAAAAACTGTGAGCAGTTTTATTTCTGCTGTCTATGTAAAAATTCATAGTTCTAAGGTTTTAAATCTCCAGAGTTTTTATTCCTGGTTTAAGAGCTGCAAGGAGACTTTGTGACGTAAATACCGTTGTGATTTATGTCAACCCGTACGGCACACTGGGAGACACTGTGAATGATCTTTCAGTGTAATATTGGCAGAAATGTAAATTAAATTACAATTCAGGAGCTTGTAGGTGAAGTTGAGAGACAAAAAGTGAGCGTTGGGCTCTCCTCAGTATTTTCTTGCGCATGTGAAAGCTTTTCCAACAAATACCAAATGTCAGAGGCCCTTAAGGAAGCCAGAAGCCAGAAGCAGGATTGGTGTCTGGTATGTCAGCTTTCTGGACGCTCGCCCTCAGTCTGCCCTTTGCTTCAGCGAAACCTTTGGCTGAGAGGATGGGCATAATGGATCTGCTGTCAGGCAGGAAGGTGTCGATCTATGGAAATAAATCAAACTCATTAAAGTTACAAGGACTGTGATTTGTTCAGTACAGTTATGATACAGGTGCTGAAATAAACCTCTAATCTAGACGGACAAAATAGTGTGCAACTTGTTCTGGAGTACAGCAAATCACAATAATTATGGGAGGGCACAAACATTTCATAGAAAAAAGAATTCTTCCGTGAGATTTCTTGCTTCTTACTTGAGAATGAGCTATGCATGCAGTAATTTAATGAAATAAACAAACACATATCTGTGGCATTTGTCTATCGAGCCATACTATATCTGGATAGATGGATGGACGGGCGGACGGACGATTTACACCAAATATTTAATCCTCCTGCCGACACGTTGCAAATAGCATCACTCTGCCAGCAGTGATGTGATGACTGCTTCCTGTTTGGTCCTCTGTCAGGGTCAATGGTGACAGCCCAGAGGGAATGTCAATATTTACATAACCAGTGACCTACCATCCAAATCCATCATCTTACCCTTGTTCAACACGACGCCATGCTGCCAGGATCCAGCCACCCTCGCACTCTGGATGACTTTACACAACCATTAAACAAAAGGGACATTTTTGCAATAGTAGAATATTTACAACACAGAGGTGAAAATGTTCCTGAAAATGAATATTTAAGTGATTTGTGTCATTTTCCCTCTAATCGACCTACTACGAAGATTTGATTCACTGCATCAAATCATCTTCATTTATTCAAGATGATTCCTATGACACCATATCTAAACAACTTGTGTGTTTTATTTATTGCAGGCATTGTTCATGCACGGTAAGCCCAGATTTTGTCTTCCAGATGTGTGAACATGTTGCAGATTGCGTTATTGTGCATCGCTGGCCTGCTGGTTCAGCCGGAAGATTGATTTTTTTATTTATTTTTTTAATGTAATTAGTTCCACTTATGTGCCTCCTGATGTTAAAAGTCCAAAATTTCAAAAGCCAACACCAAGAACAAGAGCAAACAAGACAGTGTGTATTATTGCAATGAATGGCACGTTCAATAGTAGTAATCTCCTAACTTGAATATATATTGGATCACAGTTAAAAGCTGTCATTTCACTTTTCGTCACGTCTTCACAGTTCAAACATGCACTCTGTACATATGTGAACCCCAGCCCAAACGAGCCCCCATGGACGGCCATTTTCTATGTATGGGAATAAAAATACCTATGCAACATTTCAAAAAGGAACATTTATAAATCTTGTTAGGTCGGAAACTTAAGAGATTAACGCGAAAGAAAAAATATAGAACATTTTGTAATGTCTGCATCTGCAGGGACGCAGAAAAGTTTCATTCGTATCGTTAAAAAAAAAAAAAAGCAGCAATAGGAATGATGAGTGCTGTAATCTTATGATGCTGGAATAATTTTTCTTTCTTTTTCTTATGGTTTATGCTGATGAGGACCAGCTTGCATCACATGTGTCCAGAGCCGGTAGCTGAGGTCATGTGATCAGGACCTGCTGGCTGTGCGTCACACCAGCCGGAAAACTGAAGGAACCGAACTAAAACTCTACCACTGAGTCCACAATCTTTGAACGCTGTTGTTTTTGATTTTTTTTTATATATAAAAACTAGCTTTTACGTAATTTCACAAAGTTTCTTGGTTTATGTCAAAACACTTTGAGATCATTTTATCATAAAAGTGGCTGTAAAATTTTCCATATTAAAGCTCAGAACCGTCATCTTTCAGTAATGAATGGCATTGATTGTTGAGAATTGCTGTCAAATTATATCTATATTTAGTCCTTTAGTTTGCTGAATATTATTACAGTAGCTGGCCTGTGGTTGTCATAGAAATCGCCATATAAATGATAATGCAATACTGCTAAAACTGAACTATTCTAACTATTAGGGTTTTTAAAACATTAAATTGGATTAGAAATGTGTGATGTTAAGAATTAGGCACAATTTGGCAGACATAAGACAAATTTAAAGATTCTACAGTTTAATTTTCAAGGTCCAGTGAAAACTGTCACATTTCTCAAACCAATAAATCTGTTTTTTGTTTCTTTCTTTCTTTTTTAAAGAAGCTTAAAATATTAAAGGACAGTTTTAAATAAGAAAAAAGTGAATTTTGTGCTCAGAATAAACAAAAATGCCATTTTCTAATACCTCATCAAATAACTTGTTAATTTGTCATCTACTCTCTGGAGAGCTGCAAAAACAAAGCACAATGAGGATTAACTCCAAAAAATAATGTACTTGCGGTTTTGTGGAGCATGTTCTGTAAATGCATTCAGAATGAAATATTTTCTCAATAACTCGGACATTGTGTTGTGTTTGTAACCCAGTGACACATTTTAGCAGCATTTGGTGCCTGGCAGGTGGTCATTTCTGACTCCCCACAACAGTTGGTGATTTAGAAGGGACCTCAATCTGCACACTGTGAACAGGCTCCACTGTATTCATTACATGGAGCCGCTTCCTGGGTGAAAATCACAAAATACAAGAACATGCACATTAATTACTTCTTTCATAGTTTAGAGCTCTTATGAATGCTGAAATCATTCATAAGAGTTAAAAAAAAAACATCAACTACTATCTCTAGTCTTTGTTTCTGTGCGGATTATCTAACTGATTCGAAGGTTTTTTACAATGTATTACACTGAACATTTAAGTAGGTGATACAGGCATTTTTAAACCTTAAATGTGGAAGAAATTCTCATTTTCATTTTTGAAACATGCACGTTTCATGAGCTCTTTCTCAAGTAAGTTGTTTCTTCATATAATTTCCACTGTAGAATGCTGGGATTTATGCACCCGGATGGGACTTTGGTAATCCAGAAGGGATTAAATCTGCACAGCTTCTCCTACAGATCCAAAATCAATGTTAAAATATTCAAGCTGCTTTGTTATCAAAGTACTTCTTAAAAGCTGGGAATTTACAGATTGCCAAATTATGTCTGGAATATTGGAAAAAGTGTCTCATGAAAGACATTTTGCCCCAGATTTGAATTCTCCTTGCACAGAAATGGAAAAAATAAACAAATAAGTTCCTTCGATGGGAAGCAACCCCACAAATGGATGAATCGGGGTGCGTCTCGGGTGCAATCTTTAAAGTCAGATAGCTGATCGTCTGGGAACTGAGGAAATTACCTCTTAAATGCAGGACAAAGCCTGTGAATTGAAGCCAGATCCGACCTGTCAGAGTGATCCGAGGTTATCCGTTATCAGCCACAATATCAACACTGGAGATTACACGCATTATTTAATAAGGATATTGACCAAAAGTCTTGCATTCTCAAATCCATTTGCTGCTAAAGTTGAACAAGCATTCATGGCAAAACAGTCAGCTCACTTTCCTACAGCTTACCTCGCCTGAATTTAAACACAATTGATTCATTTGTCAGAGCTGAAAATAAAAACAAAAAAAAAAACCTCCCGAGCAAAATTTGGTTTGGGGTCTTCTTCATCACACTAGACAACTGGAAAACTTTAGGATCGCTGCTGTGGAGAAAAACATCTGGACTAATATTGTTAGCCTCTCAGAACTGCAACGCAGCAGAAGCAGTAAAGGCTGCTTAAAGATCCATGACTGATTTTGTTAATCTCACCTTTGCTGTTTCTTTTACAATGGGATGTGCTTTATTCCATATTGGTTTCATCACTAAATTTTGACTGATTTTAGGGCAAATTAAGAAGGGCTTCAATGTAAAGAAAAGAAAAAAACTGTAAAACTTTTACTTCTTATACATAAAAACAATATTTATACACTAAAAACCTTGCTGATCAATTATCAATTAAACATATCTACATTTCAGCCAGGGTCCTTGTCCCTCTAGTCTCTTTGGGTCAAGTGTGGAGGAGGACGTGGTCCTGACTAAATCTGCTCCTGAGAGTCTGTTGACCCGATACCAGCGGGCCGAGGTCAGGACTGGACATCGACGAGCTTCCTCTTGCGGTAGTTCAGAACCAGGCTGGAGGCAGTGAGCTGTGCGGCCTGGCCCTTCTCCCAGTCCTGGAAGCCGTTCAGGCCGTTCTGACCGGACCTGAACAGAACCTTCTCCAAGCAGTCCAGTCGCCCCACCAGCGCAGACGTGTCTTCATTGTAGGCATTCTGAGAGGAGTCCATCGTTCGCCTAAAGCGGCCGATGAACGTCTGGAGGGACGACAGAGTAAGGTCATGATTACAGTTCTCAGTTAATTCATTTTAATATGAGTGATGCTTTCTTTTTTTTTTTCTTATTTTTTTTAAAGTCGGTCCCATGTGGTGATTTGTTTAAAAATGTTAGAAGCAAAGTCGCTCACAATAAAATGTATTGGCTTGCTGCACCCTCTAGTGGTGATTGAGGTCAATAACGCTGCTTTGCCTTCTGACGTTTAGTTAAAAAGGAAATGGAGCAGAAACAAAATGGTCCTTTATCGTCTGGACCGTTTAAATGACATTTTTATTTCAGACGCAGCCAAGAGGAAACTTCCAGGTTGTTTACTATTACACCTTCTAAATTTCAAATTTACAGGTTAAATTAACGATACCTCGCTCATGAACTGAAAAGATAAGACAATGCCAGCTGTTTGTGGCAGTGAATAAAATATGCTGCTGTGTACGCTTGGTAAATTGTAAAATAATGAAAAAAACTATTTGGTTTCTGTCCTCATCAGGAGTAAGCAGGTTTATCTCGTCACCCAAAGACGTCCCACCTCATCTCAGACAAATAGAAATCACAGCAAATGGCATCTAATCAGTGTCTGATTGGCAGCGTTTACGGTTGCCCACTGGGGATTATTTTCGGAAACGGACCCGTGCTGGCAACTACTGCACTTCCTCCCAGGGTCTCGTACCTGTAACAACGTCTTTGCGATGTCTGGGTTTTCTGGACTGTCGAAATGCAGCATCTGGGAGCCCAAGCCGTAGTAGTAGGGACCCATCTTATGCAAGTCCACCACGTTGGGGTCCGCTGTGAACACGGTCCTCCAGCCCTCCTTGTAGATTTTAGGAAGCTCCACAGACAACACCTTCCTCTTCTTCTCATGTAGACCCTTACAGAGCCATAGAGGAAGCTCCATTTTTGAGCCCTGAAAGGAAAGAGAGAGCGCTTAGGAAACAGGCCGATGTGTTCATGAAGGCAAATGAGCCACATGCAAATACCTTAAGACTTACGTTCAACTCTTCATGATACTCAGTCATTTATTTTTAAATATGTGGTTGATTCTGTGCTTTGTGTTTTTCTCTGTGCTTAACATGCAAGGGACAGGGTTTGAACTGGTCCGTCACAAAGATACATAAAGCCAAGAGCAGCTCAGTCACTGATGGTCCTAATATTCATGTTTTTGGATTGTGGGAGAAAATAAAATAAATAAATAAATAAATAAATAAATAAAGCATGAAATGCCACACAGAAAACACCTGACCATTATCTGAACCTGCGACCTTCGAACTACAAGGCAACAGTGTCATGTTTGAATCCAACACGATTGGATTCATGTGTTGGATTCACATTCAATCAGTTCATTAAACCACAATTCCTTGTGGCATAAGCAAACACAAAGAACTGTGCAATGTCAATAAATAGGTTCATTCTTTATCAAGCGACAAACTTCCCAAATAAGTTGCGTTTTGATTCAAAGTTAGGCAAAGAAGATTAAACTTCTTTAGGGAGTAGTGTTTATTTATTTAGCACAGTGAATGATTAGTTAAAACCACGAAAACACTGAATTGATCTCCACGAGACGTCATTAAAGCAGATAACAAAAGAAAGACAGTGATTTAGAGATAAATGCCGAGCCATAGGTTGTTGTAATTCATCGCAGCAAACTCAGCTGACCTCCGCGATGTCCTGCGAGTCTGCAGACTTCTCCAGAAACCCAAGTCGGGGGAAAACGCACTCCGTCCGCACGGGCAGCCTCTCCTGCGAGAGCAAAATGTCGTCGAGAGACAAAAAGTTGTCCTCCATCCCCACACCGGGAGGTACGGGGAAATAAGACGGTGTGTCCATGTGAGTGAATGTAAAACCAAAGGTAGACGCGGAACGGAATGAAAGCTGTTAAATTCTCCCGTCTTCCACCACACTTCCTGTTTTTTTTGGCGCCGGAACAAAAGAACCAATCACAACGCTGCAAACAAGCGCAACAAAGAGACGGTGCGTTCCAGTTACCTCGGAAGTTTGAAAATCATTTCTGAAAATTGTGTCACACGCATCTTCGTCTTGGAAGTTGGAAATTCATTAGAAGGTACTAATAAAGAACTATATTGAAAGTGTTATTCTGTGCATATTTACTTATTGTAAAGGAGAATGTTTAAAAATGTCTTACGCAGTGAGCTGGATTCATAGTTGGAAGGTAACACTGGTTCAAATTCAAATATGACTCCTTCTAAAGGTCAACAAAATAATGGGTTTTCATTGACATTTCTGACAGCTTGTAAAAAAGACTGTGATACACATTTTAAGTATAATTTGTGAACATTTTTATTGTAGCATTCAAATTCATAAAGATCAATTCACTGATAAAAGCATGTGCAACACATCGTATTGCAGATGCAATTGATTTTCCAACTAGAAAGTTGTTAAATTGGAGAGATGTAATTCCCACATCAGACAAACAACTATACCAAAATAAACTGAACAAAACAAAGATAGATCTGATGAGATATACATTAAATCTGTATATTTAAGGTTTACAAAACACGCGGTTGGGCTTGGAGGTTACTCTGGGATTTCTCACTTTCCAAGTCAAATATTTGATGCTGTTTTGGGTATTTCCAACTTTGAATCAAGAAAATAAGTTGGATGTAAAGTCATTCTTAGATATGGAAAACACCTATTGACTGAATTGAGCTCTGAACTTATACAGTACAATATCAAATTGACTTCTGTGATACGTAATTTGCATTTTCTATATTGCAAAATATTTGAATGAAATATTATGTTATTGAATATAAATAGCATATTATAAAAGGGCAATTTTCATGGTTATTTAATCAACAGAATCAAAATACCAAAATAAAATCACGTGTAATAATATTTTTGACCATTAGAGGCCAGAATATCACCATGAATAAAAATAGGGTCGCCTTATAACCAGTTGAAACTTTTAAACTGTAACCAATATGTGAACTGTAATTATATTAGAAGCATAAAAAGAAGGCACAACCACAACTAGCTAAAAGTTAGACAGCAAATTCAACCTTGAATTTCCATCCAATTAAAATGCAGCACTTGTCTCATCGCCCTCACCTTCTCTCTGTCACTTCTGATTACATTCATCAGCTGACAAACGAGGAACGACAGCAAGTCCAGACTGTAATATTGTATTTCTCCTTTGTTGGGGTAAAATCGGTTCACAAATCTTGACGACAGCGAAAACAGTTCAGTCATTTTTCTTCTTTTGACATTGTTGATTCTCAGACTCATCCATCAGACCCCACATTAAGGTCATCAGACAAGTGGGCCAACTTCCACCTCTACAGAGTGAGTGTTTCTTCATGACTCAAGAAATTAAACAGCTCATAAATTATGAGTATTCAAATGACATGAGGCTAGAATTAATAACTGGGTTCCCGGCTCAGAGCTGTCTGTCTCAGTCGTGTCCTTGGGCAATACACTTCACCCGCCCTGCCTGCTGGTAGTGGTCAGAGGGCCCACTAGTGACAGTGAATGACAGCCTCGCTTCTGTCAGTCCGCCCCAGGGCAGCTGCAGCTTACCACTGTCAGTGTGTGAATGTGTGCATGGACGGGTGAATGACTGGATGTCGTGTGAAGTCCTCTGGACTACATAAAGCACTACGCTGCAGCGTCACCGTTTACCATAAGGGCTCTCCGCTTATCTCTACCAAGGTCCTTGTAAGCAAGGAATGAGCTGTAACAGCATCATGACTACAACTGCTTTAATATTAAATGAGGAATAATACGGAACGAAAGCTCCGGTGGGACTGAGCGCTTTGTGCCAGAAGCGAGTTGATAACGCTTTCAAACTCCATTAAAGCTGCATCAGATGCTGTCACACACCACCCGTGAGAAGTGGCTGTTTAACAGGACATGAAACTGAATTCATATTGTAATTGTTTTTTGTTTGTTTGTTTGTTTTGGGGGTTTTTTATGTGACACTCTCCCAGCAGTAGGAAGCCTTGTGATGGACAGCAAGGAAGTGGTCTCGCTGTGTAAGTTTTCTGAACCGACATTAATTTGAAGCATAACAATAGATTTGAAGCTCTTAAAAAATTTTATATTTTTCTCTCTTTTTTTTTCTTTTTTTTTTTAATCAGATTAAGGACAGATTTTTATTGTGTTAAACAGTGAGCCTGATATTTCAGACAAACTCCACATATTCATGTCTTTTCTAAACACCTCTTTCTGTTGGACTAAAATGGGATTTTATTTTTCTCCTGCTGATTTTTTAGCTCAGTAACACTTACATCGGAGCACGATGGAGCTTTCTAAAGTAGTGCAACTTTGCTCTGACCAAAAAACTATTAATACACTTTTTAGGAGAAGTGGGATTTTTAGGAAATGTAGTTGAAGATAAAGATAAAAATGTGTTACCTCCCATTCAGATCTTAGAAATAACTCCTCCTCTGCGATGCCTCCACTCTGCAAGTTTCCTTCGGTGACTTAAAATGACTTTATTTCCCACTAAAACTCGCACTCCTCTTCCTGTAAAAGACGCATTTGAAAAAGCAAAGGGGGAAAAAAAAGCGGAAGATACTTTTTTCATCTAGCACAATTTATTCCACCATTTGTTTACAGTAGCTTTGTAAATGCAGTTTGTACGTTGATTCGTAGTAGTCTTCACACATCAGCTCTTGGCATTCTGAAGAGTGAGTAACACCTCACATGATTGGAATATTAAACAAATGTTGTTAAATATGAACAAATGAATAAATAAGCCCCGTTCAGCGGCTGCACAGTGGAACAACAAGAGTCCTTTTGAGGGTCCGAGTGCCTCGCATCTCCAGTCGCAGACAGATACATCTGTTTCCAGCAGGAACACAATGTGGGGGAGCCGACTGTAGCAGAGGCCAAGAGGCCCCCTTTTGATTTGCAAACACACATGCGCAAACAGTCATGGAGGGATTACGAGCCAACGGAGCAACCAGGGAACAGAAGAAGGAAAAGAGGACTGAGAAAGTCATTTTGAAGAATCCAAATGCAGTTGCCTTATGCGTCCTAATTTTTGTTTATTTACTTTTAAAAATGTGTAAAGGTCCTTGCAGAGTCTTTTTGCAGCCTGTTTTGCTTTTAGTGACGGTCGAGTTTTCTTAGGAACCTTTATCTTTTATCTTTCGCTCTTCCTTGTTGGAGGAGGGAACAGGTCATTTTCAATTTCCTATGTTTGCAGATTTAGTTATATTATACTCAACCGTTTCAGATATAAAAAGATGCCACTGCCCTGGGATTTTTTGTACCAATCAGGGATATATAAGTACATGTCTGTTTTCAGGTCATTCGGGGGAAACTCGTACTTTCTTATTTGAAAATAAAAGTCCTCAAATATAGATAGAAACAACAGAGGGTCAAGTTTGAAGTCACAAGCTGACAGCAATTTGACGTAGTGACCACAAGCAGTCAGATTTGACCTTTTCATGAGATGTCTTTTCCAGATACCTCGAAGGCATTCTTGACATCAGTGTTTCCTTGTCCCTCTAGTTTTACGGTGTCTCAATCCCTGTGACTTTGGTAATGTTAGAATTTCAGAAAAGCCTTTTTAAAAGATAAATCATAATTAAATCAAAATCAGTCCCAAACATAGAAATAGTCTGCAGTTCAACAAGAAATACCCTGATATTTTAATCATAATAGTGATAATAGTTATAGTTGGACGTAACGAATGTTGTACATTTTTATTTGACTCTTATGACTTTTGCTGTTTTTATCAGTTTTAATTCTAAATTTCTAGATCAGGTGGATAATCAGAGCAAATTTTATGAGTTCGGAGAAATTTTATGAAATTCTTAAAGGACATATTAACAAATGCATTGGTTGTTCATTTTTATGGGTGCAAACTAAAATATTTATTTAAAATGAAAAGTAAAAAAAAAAGTCATTAAAAAAATGTGAAACTCATTTATTGCATCTGTGTTAAACAGATTAAGTGTTGACAGACATTTCAAGCATTTGTTTGTTGGTTCTTTTGATGGTTTTGACCTTTCCTAAGCAAGAACATTACCTAACACTAATAAGTTTTCTGTTGCTTGGCTCTTCTGGTTCAGTACCTGGCTGGTTCCACTCAGTAATCCTTCCATGCAAACAGTCATATGAATGGACACAGTCTCGCGCTCGCGCTCACTCCAGGCTCTCTCTTTAAGAAATGACTAATTTTCACATGAAAAATCTGGCAGATCTGATAGAGAAAACTGAGAGAGGTTACAAGTGAAATTTACAATATGTCATGTTGCTTTTCTGCAGCTGTAAACATTAGCAACGTAAAGGGAGGACTGCCAGTTGCACACACAGGGAACATCTAGACTGTAAACATTTCAATACAGAGACACACACAGCGCTGTCCCAGTCAGCCCTCTACAACAATCTTTCACACACACACACACACACACACACACACACACACACACACACACACACACGGCTTCAGTAACCTGTCACAATCCAAGGACAAGCACACCCATTCCGGTGAAGCCTGACACTGAAGCATCCCAACCATAAACACACACAGCCACACGCTTTAAGGGCGTAAACTACATTGCTTCCTCCCAGTCTGGACTGAGGAGAAACTGAGCATGTGCAGACCCTTCCTCTTCTCCACACCACCACACCCATCTTCAGACCAAGCGAACACACCGGACAGGCTGACGTGCCAGTTCCTCTCTCTTCCTGTTCAGATGTGCACTGACCTGATCTGAAAAGCATTTTATGTACTTTCTGATGTTATTAATCTGGTGCGGAAGGTAAGCAGAACTGAGGCGGGGGCTATGAAAGAGGAGCGCACTGTGAGGCAGTCTTTTATGAGAGATCACCACCAAGCTGGAGTCCTGTTTGTGTGAGATGAGAGGCCCACTGAATAATGTACAAGTCTGTTTGCAGTTTTCTGCCTCTCCCTCTCCTTCATCCTCAAGTGGTTCGTTTTCCTCTTCCACCCACCCTGCCCTGCCTCCTCCCCCCATCCCCACCCCTTTAAGGCCATGGGAGGACTGGACGCAAGTTACAGACAGGCCTGGATCCAGAGACGAGATGGGAGGCCTGTTAAGACCATGCTTTGATTTGGAGGGGTGTCTGAAGGGAGGCGGGAGAGGATCCACGTTGTATGCAGTATCATCAGCAGGTTTCGAAATGAAAAGCTTAACAGAGGCCCTTTGATGTGTGATGGTTGGAAAGTCACATTTTCTTTTTGGTTCAGTTTACAGGGAACAGTTGTCTGATAGGACTATGGATTCCGTCACGGCGAGTATGCGATGATCGCTTTGATTGTTTAATCAGATTTGGTAGCGTCTGTGTCCAGATGTCCATGGCAGGAACCTAATATGTCCTGAAGACAAAGAGGACAGACAGACAGGAAAGACTGATGTTCTCAGAAATTAGAAATTAGAAACATACATCAGGGGCAAACGTTGGCAATTGGGTAACATTTTAAATTTCAACAGAGTCCACAGAGAGAGAGAGTAATTGTTTCTCAGTAGCAGACCTTCTTTTCAAGCGAAGCGTAGAACACAGGGATGGTTTTTACCAGACTGTGTTTCAAGGGAAAATCTACAATTTTTCAATATCATTTTTAAAGCTATTAAGCATTTCCATCATGCTATTCCTGCAATTTCAATTACTGTAATGAGATGCCAGAAACACTGGGGTTTTAAAATTAGAGTTGTAGTGCCCTCCCATACATGCTGCTGCAAGCTGCCAGTGGATTTTCTCTTAATTTACAAAATAGTCAGCCATGCCCTGGCTACCAGTGGAGAGACTGAGGTAAAACTGACAGAAGTGAAACATGGGGAGTAAACTCTCAGGATTACCTACCCTGCTGTTTTTTGATTGTTTTGGATTGACCCACTTACACATTTCTGCATGTAAACTGACCTGTTTTGAAAAGAACGGGTTTTGTGTAAATAAACGGCGCTGAACTGAATGAACTGCCAACTTTAGGTTCAGTGGTAAAGAACCATAAAGAAAGGAATCTCATGGTGCATGTTAGAGTTTATGCACTTTGTTCAGCGGGTGATGACGCTGTGATTCTCACCTTGAAGAGTACCGAGAGTGGGCCAGGTGGTGGGTCAGTCGGAGGGGTGTTCAGGGCAGGACCGATTGATCTCAAACCAGGAGTCTATACAGCTGCAGAAGCACAAAGACACATAGATGTGAAATAGTTGAATCGGAAGTCAGAAAACACGTCTACGTTGGCTTCTTCGTGCAGATAACGATGAATTTACACATCTGAATAAGAAACACGCTGAGCTGCGTTATTAAACACACATTTAAGTCAATGTTGTGGAAAGCTTGTTGGAAAATCTCCCAATACTCCCACCCAGGAAGCTCATAGAAACATGAAACTTAGAAATGAAATTCAAGGGACGACACCAGAAGAGACGTCTTCTGACCTGTTTTGAATTTATAAAATCTTTCTCCCTGCGTTCTTAGAAAACGTTTGACAGCAACCACATTTTTAGGCGCTGTCACGTCAAGTTTATTTCATAAACAGCGTGAGAACTATAATCGGAGCCTTCAAAGACCGGAGACTAAACAGAAAAATTATCCATGTTGGGATGACTTTTGTGGCTTAAGAGCTGTGCTGAAATGTCCTGATTACAGAATCTTTACACAGGCAGATGTTAATGATTGTGCAGCAAAGCAGAGCCTTTTGGGAGTCACAGCAACTCAGCCACAAAGTAGTATGATCATAGATCGTTTTTATTTATAGTATAAATCGTTAAGACAAACTTGAATTCATTGCTTGTTAATATTTAATACTTAGTTTCCCTGTGGGATTAATAAAGTATTTTGGAATTTAACTGAATTGTTAAAACAGTGCAACCTCAATAGTTATTCAATATTTTCTGTGCCACAGTTCATCATAAAATAATTTAATCTGTGACTCTAATATTTCACTGGTCAAACTGGTAACAGTAGTTTAATGGCAGACCAATCACCTGTCCTTCAGCAGAGTTTGCCACTTCCACAGACTTTGATGGTGGTTCATTACTTCGAAATTATATACGCTATTAAATTAGAATGAATAATTTCCACATTTGATTGTTTAAAAATGTTTTTTCTAATTTTTAAGAAGTATTTAAATAATTTTAAGAAAATACATTGATTTATGTAATAAGTGAATTTCCAATTTTGTTTGAAAAATCACATCGCACACCGGCGACTTATTAATTCCTTTGCATTGTGCTACTTTGACTCTTGACACCAGCTTGTCTCTTTATTTAACTTTTTAATAATGTGAAATGCTTCTTATGATAGAGAGCAGAAATGCTGCTTTGTCTTTCAACAAATGATTGAACAATGTTTGTATCAAAGTAAAGCAGAGCAATCAATCTTTAAACCTTTACACAGCGCTGTGAGGGGAGGGGATTTAATTAGAAGAAGTGCAAAATTTATATAAGAGCCAGTGATTCAAATCTGTGTGTGTGCGTGTGTGTGTGCGTGTGTGTGTGTGTCAGTCACCTTTTGTGGTAGATGCAGAGGCACGGCAGTCTGGCTATGGTGTCCCCTTGCTGCAGCTCCTCTAGACAGATCACACACTCGCCGGCATCCCTCGCCAACACATCATCTAAGGTGGCAGACACACACAAACACACACACACACACACACACACACACACACACACCCCACACACACACACACACGCACACACACACACACACACACACACACACACACACACACACACACACACACACACACACACACACACACACACAGAGCGGAAGAAGAATTAGCATTTCACCACAAACACTGATAATGTCAGCCATCATATCAAACACAGCAGAGAGCAGCCGGGAAAGCAGCTCGGTGCATCACAAGGATGATACCGTTGGCATTTTCTGCTTCCAACCATACAAAAAAAACAAAGAAGCAATTTGTGATGTGCTTTGAGCCAGTTTCTGTTGCTATTACTAGAAAATGTATTTCAGAATATTTTATCCCCTCTGCTATGCTACCAAATGAAGGTCAGCAGCTACAGAGACTTGAATGATCTGTGCAGAAGAACTTAACCAGCATTCATCATCCTGAAGCGTTTTAACTTTTTTGTCACATCGCTGTCATAAACTACAGTGTACGAAACAAAACACAACTGAAGTGAAGGAAAGGAAAACAAAACAAAACAAAAAATCGAAAACAAAAAGATAAATCTAAAAAGTGTGGCATGTATGTTGTAGGATCACAACTAATAGCACTGAAAGTATTTTGTGGCTTGTTTCTGTCATGCAAAGATGTAGTTTTTGTTCATTTCCAGAGGCAAAATATAGCAATGTTTTCTAAGGCGTCATAATGTTTGTTATTTAAGTGCAGTGAGAATTAATAAATTAACTCTTATTGAATTATCTGGCAACGATACAATATTTTGGGGTCAAAATCTTAAGTCTACCTGTAATCCAAACCTGTTCTATTCTCAGGCTACACCAAGATGGGAATAAACGCGTCTATAATCTCTGTTTAGGGCTGAAGGGTGGAGGAAGCAAGTGGAAAATGTTTTCAAACCAGCTTTTGCTGCAACCTAAACATCATGTCTGCAGAAAGAAAACTAGAAAGTTAATAAATTAGCTGCAATACAACCAACCTTCACACCCACACTAAATATTTGATTTGTTTTTATTACCTCAAGTGATGAACAGTAGCGAATCAGATCAAATTTTTAATGAATCTGGACAAGCGCCCATTTCCAATACGACCAGGACAAACAAGCATCCGCACGCATTCAGAATTTGGTGACAAATGATCCTAACGCGGATACTTTGGTAATGTGGAAAGCTGCTAGGAGACACATGGAGCACATGCAAACTCCAAGCAGAGGGTTTTAAATCCCCGATTTAAAACTAACAACCGCTCAGCTGTGCAGCGCCAGTCGAGGCGCCCACATTTAGATAAACTCAGATAAGGACAGAAGGCGTGCGATGACGACTGAGTGTCTCTTTAAGATAAAAGGACAAGTAATTAGATCAATGTTTTAATAACGGTGAAATAAATCAACAGAAATCACTTTTTCATTGCTCTGCGGCTTTGAATTAAAACAGATTCAGCTGATTCGCTGACTTTAATCGGTAATTTAAGACAATCCAGCTCAAGTGTCCGTACAGATGCAATGGGTTTGCGTTGCTCTCGACACTGAATTTCAGCCAGGGCCTGTTTGTTATTGTTCATGTGGTTGCTATTGTCTATTTGATGATGGGAGTGCAGCGGCTGCTTGGTGGAAATGAATTTCCCCTTTGGAACAATAAAGTCTAAAATCAGGCTCACCAGTATTAGTGTGCAAAATTCATGACACAGCCAGAATTACCAGATTCTTTCCTCTGGTAATCTATAGTTCTTACATCCGTCTGAATGTCTTTCCAAAATTTTCTGTGGGCTTCAGTTGCTTATGCACTTACCCTGCATGCAGAAGAAAAGCGCATCTTGAGGTAGAAGGGAGGATTCATAACATTAACCTGCCGATGGCAAAGCTGCAAAAACAACACAATCCGGTCGTGTTGTGCAGAGCCCCGTAAGATGTTTTCCAACATCTCATTAAAAGGTGAGGCTGCCTGAGCACAGTGTGTGGCCTGACCCACTAAAGGTATGCCGAGACTAATAAAGTGCTCACGCAGTGTGAAATTCTAGAGAATAAGTTGCTCATAAATTAAATTCTCTGCTTGCTTCAAAACGAAACGCTACATCAAATGAGTCGTCCTCGATCCCGACCTGACCGAGGCCAGGAAATTCTCCACGGCTCTTCGGAGGATCAACACACCAATCAATGAAGGTGCAAAATGACGGATCGTGTGCAATTATACGAAGCAAGAAAACAGATATAATTAGGGATACATGTGTCATCCATATTCCTCCACATTTGTTAAAGTTGTGTAAAAGTCCTAAAGAATCTCAAATTGATGATTACACAAAAGATAACTTGACTAATGCAATAATGTTAACTGTAAAAAGAGCAAAGGAGAAGAGAAAACAAGTAAAATACCTAACACTTGGTAGAAATAAGGATTTTGGTTGAATGAGCTGTTCGGGTCGAAACTCTTCGGTAATAATTTAGAGTGAATAATAAACATTTTATTATACAAATTAAATTAACTAACATTTTGGTGGAATCTGGCAAATTTAGTAGCTTTGTTGCCAGATTCTGTGCTCTCTCTTGGTACTCTGGCTTCCTCCCAGACACACGACTGGCTGATTAATTGGTCTCTAAAACGTCTTGAGCGATGAGTGATTGTGTGCATGGTTGTTTCTTCTGTGTGACCCCGTGATGGACTGGCAACCTGTCCAGAGTGTACCCCCGCTAAAAACTAACAGAGAGTCTGTGGAGGGAGCTAAACATTAGGGTGACGGCAACAAGGCCATCCAACCTCAGAGACTTTGCGCTTACCACCAAACATAAATAGTCAAAATGTTAACACAGAGCAGGAAAGGGGACATTCCACTGTTTAAATTTAGAGAACCGCGGGTCCATCTTCTCTGGCAATGAAGTGCTTCAGTACACATAGAAGATCATGTTCTGATTAAAGAAACAGAACCAAATTATTTGATTAATTTGCATAAAGCAAAGATGAGCCCGAGGTTCCCTAAGCCAAGCAATTCTGTGTCATCTGTTAGGAACTGTGTGTTGACAGAGATCGTGATCGAGACATTAAAACAGTCCCATCATTTCCAGCAAACCCCTAAACCGTACCCGTTCACTCCTGATGAGATCGTAGGCAAAGTGAATGAAGAAAGATGTGTTTGACATTACATTAAACCTGGTCCGTCTTGTGTTTCGTTTGATCAGAATCGGATGAAACGGGATCTGAGGGCTCTTTTTCTGGGTCTCCAACTCATTAGTTCTCTCCTCACCCACCTGCCTCCCTCTTGACTTTCAGCTGTCTCTCCTGCCTGCCAGCAGACGTTTGGCATCAAGCAACTTACATCAGTAATGACTTAGAGGGGTTGCTCTTTGCTTTCCTGAATCACAGCACGAAATTCTTTCTTTCACTGTCTGTCTTTGTCCTCCAGTGGCTGGAGCTGCAGGAGGCAAACTGCATGTGCTTCACCTGATTCTCCCTTACGCTTTCTCTCTGGTTTCGCTCCGCACTGGTCCTCCTGACTTACATGTCTTTGCCCCCCTCACTCACGCCACTCACGCAAGTGCTCAAGGTGCTATATTTAGCAGGACACATTAAAAATATCATCACTGAAAGCCGAAGCCCAGATAAGATCCAGAAGTCACCTCACGTGGATTTTGTGCTACCCTTGAACCTCACCTGCACTCTGCAGGCATGTAGACAAAAAATACAAAAAGAAAAATACAGAGAAGTGACATTTGTCTTAAGTTAAATGTTTGTACACAAACATCTAAATTTAGTTAGATATGTTTTTGATTTATATTTCAGAAAGCCTTTCCAGTTACAATTTGCACATACAGTGTATTGCAAAAGTAAACATAACTCTCAAGCTCTTTTTAAAAATATTTTGTCACATTTTAACCTTAAATGTAGATGATTCTTTATTATCTAATATAATAAAACAACTCACAACAGTGGGAATTGCAAAAAGGGGCAGTTTTAATTTCTCTGGGAAAGGACCCGACTTTGTTCCTTGATCATGAGGACCAAGGAGCAAAATGGGCAAGTCAGGAAGAATGTCATGGAGAAGTTTAAAGCACAATTAGATTATAAATATCTCAAGCTTCGGACATCTTGCAGAGCTCAGTTCCACCATCTGGAAATGAAAAGAGTTGTAGCACAAGAGCAAACCTGGCAAGACACGGCTGCCCGAGCAGAGAGAGCGTAAATCAGAGAAGCAGCCAAGAGGACAATGGTAAAGCTGGAGGAGTTGCAGAGACTCACACCTCAGGAGGGAGAATCTGCCAACAGAAAACTATTAGTTAAGAAGAAAGCCATTCTTGAAATAAAGCCATATGAGGAGCCGTTTGTAGTTCGAGATAAGCCATGTGGCGGTCACAGGAAGAAGGAAGGCTGGTCGGACGATACAAAAATTTAATATTTTGTAGCCTGCATACAAATCAGATCAGAGGAAAGCTAGCAGTGTTAAAAAAAAAAAAAAAGAAAAAAGAAAAAAAAACTCCCAGAAGTTGAACACAGTTCTGTTCTTCAAACAAGAAGCCAAAGAAACATGGACAAAGCTAAATACAAAAGAAAACCTTTTGCAGGCAGCAGAAGACTTAGAACCTGATTGGACAATTCAGCAGGACATTGACCCACTGCAATACAAAGGATACGTTTAGATGAAAGCATGTTCATGTGTTAGAATGACCTAGTCAAAGACCCGACCTAAGTCCAATTGAGACTTTGTAGGAAGATTTGAAAATTTATACTCCCAAGGTCTCTAATCAGACTCTGACTAAACTTGATGGGGCAGCAAAACACACCAACAGCTCCATCATTCCTGTGAAAAGTGTTCCTGCAAATGCGTGTTCATTAGTTCAAAACTATAAAAGTCAACTATCACTCTCCTTTAAATATACAATTATTGCAGGGCTAATGCCGCTTTTAACGAGGCGGCTGCCAAAAACAGTTTCTGCCGACACTCACCAGTTCAAAGTTTAGGCTTGTCTGAATTGCCTCAGG